TGTGTGTTTGAAAATACGCGAGTGTCGTCGACTTTTACATAACAGTCCACGTCACAAACGAAATGTCTGTTGGTGAGAAAAGGGTTTATTGCAAGCCATGTCTTTTATTGCTGACCAACAAACTTAGTGTGCATAGATTAATTACTGTGCTTAGAGCTTGAAAGCCATTTAAATTGCGTCGAATTATTAAGCTCTTGGTAGGAAATAGCTTGAGTTCAGGGCTGAAGATTGCCTAGCATGAACGGCCCTTGGCTCAGTCCCTAGCACCATAATAAGAAAGGTTCAGAAGGAAAAGGTGGGATAAATTATTGCAAGTTTATTACACATTTTACAATAATAGATAATAATATTGGATATGTGAATTAATGAGATACTGTATCAATGAATGAGGAAACCACAGTACATACCACAAAAGCATCTCTTATTTCTGTCTCCACAATGAAGTTTTTCCCTTTAATGCAGTGTTTCAAATCAAAAACCTGGCAGTGGTGGCGCACACCTTTCACACCAGAACTCTGGAGGCAGAGGCAGGCTCTGAGTTCAAGGTCAGCCCAGTTTACGGAGTGAGTTCTAGGAGAGTCAGGGCTACACAGAGAAACCATTTCTCAAATAAAATTTAAGAAATTAAAGGGCTTTTTAAAGGTCTGAAGAGATGACTCAACCTTTAAAAGGGTTCTGGGCCTGCAGAGCACCTTAGTTCAGTTCCCAGCGCTCATGCCAGGCTGCTCATAACCACCCATAACTCTAGTCTCAGGGGTATCCAGCATCTCTGGTCTCTCTATGGCACCTTACATACCCACATGAAGACACAGACAAAAACAATAAAACATGTTTTTAAGTTTATTTCAAGAGTTCTTACCCCAGAATGCTTAGACCATGCTAAATGCATGAGCTTTCACATTCCAAAGCAAATACCAGATAGGGTTGGTCTAAAGGAACAGCAAATACTAAAATGCTTTAGCAACTGTTTTATGGGCATGATCAAGGGATTTCTTTGTGTATATTATAATTAAGTCAAAATGTAAAAGCCAAGCATAAATAGCAAATAGTTCTTTCATGCAGTTTTTATTGCATAAAAATTACTTCATAGGCTAAAGAAAGATGCAAACAATAAAAAGAAACTTGACCTAAATATCAGAAGATGCTTATCATATCAGAAAAGGATAAAAAAAATAGGAGCTGGAGAAATGGCTCAGCAGTTAAGAGAACTTGTTGTTCCTGTGGAAGATCCAGGTTTGATTCTAAGCATCCACAGTGTGGTTTACAACCATCCATCCATAACTCCAGTCCCAGGGTATCTGGCACTTTCTGACCTCTTCAAACGCCAGACACACACATGGTCCACTTACATACATAAAGGCAAAATACACAGACACATTAATAAATCTAAAAAAAATTTAAAGGTAAATGGGTTCAGCATTACTCATTTGTTAGGCCTAGTCGAATGAACCCTAGAAAATTTAAAGATGAACTAAAATCAAATATCCCTCATATTGATAATTTTCCCTTTCACATTGTTTGAAGCATATGAAACATTGGTGATATAATAGCCAATGATGATTTAAAAGCATTAAATAAAATTTGTCAAATTAGTATTATTTAATTTATTTATATGGTGGCTGGTATCTGTAGTCCCAACCACTCAACGCCTAAGGCAGAAGAATTGCTTGATCTAGGAGTACAAGACTAACTGGGCAGCACACAAGACACCATCTCCAATAATTTATTTGGAGCCTAGTACTATTTGTTACTGAAAGCAATGATATCAATTGCAGGGATAAATACATTCCCCCAATAGGTTTTAGGTAACATCTAGCAGCCATAATGTTGAGTGGTAGAGATAAGACACCCAATGCCTCCTTTCAAAGGAGTCCTTGATTTAAAAAAAAATTTAAAAATTAGATGTTTATATAATGAGAATTGAGACAGGGGCTAATTGGACCAGGAGAAAAACATAAAATTGCCTGCTGATTAATGCTCATTCATCAGGAAACAAACAACTTGAAGATATGTTTGAAACTATTCAAGCATGGTCAAAGCTGATGATTTTTTTCCCTTGTCAAGTTACTTTTGTACTTCCCGGGATAGTTTCTCTCATACATGTAAGGAATTTTTTAACATAATTTTTTTACTGATTCTTTGGAAATTTCACATCACGTACCCAATCCCACTCATTTCCTGGTCCTTCCATGTCCACACTCCACCCCTGTAATCTGTCCCGCAAAAGAAAATATAAATAAGTAAATAAGAAAACAAGCAAAAAACACTTTGCTCCTCCATCTTTCCAACTCTACATCACGTATTCATTTGTCGTAAGTGTCATTGGGAGCTGTGGTTTGTCATGCAGTATAGCTTTACTTGCTTGCAATGAGTCGTTGGTCCAGTTTAAGGCCTCTGGCTTTTGGTACACCATTAAAACCGAACCCTCACCAAAACTTCTCTCAGATATCCTGCTGTTGTCCTGAGTTATGAAGATCCTGTGGCTATGGTTCTTCAGGACCAGTGTAGGGAATGTTTTTGAGAGTGGTTTTGTTCTCTTTTGTTTTGCTTTTGAGGTAGGATCTCACTATGCAATGAAAAAATTCCAAGCTGGCCCAGAATTTTCAATTCTCCCACCTTAGCCTGCAGTGAGCTCAAACTACAAGCTTGCACCATCATGTCTGCCATCACGTTTATCATTTTATTTATAAGAATGTGGCAGTGTAGTTATAAACTACGATTCACAGTAAAGCACTCTTTCAACAAATCTTTATCAAGTGTCAAGCACTTTACTATGTGCCAAGCATAGTAGATAAACATTTTTGATAGATGTAAGGGTCACAACAGTAAACAAAATAGGCTAACTTTCTACATTAATGAACTTTGCAGTCCTAGGAAAAAGACAGTTCAAACTCATCATAAGCTTTGTGAACATCTCTCCAGGCCCACATACTATGTCTTTCAGTGCTCTCAAAGGCCCTCCCCAACTCCTGCCATTACCTCACTAGGAACCAGTCATTCCTTTTTATTTTGTTTTATTTTCTTTTTGAAACAATCTCATTATGAAGTACTGGCTGGCCAGAAACAGATCTAGCTCCCTCTGTCTCATAAATTCGTTTTTTTGCTTTTTTTTCCTCTTTGTTTTGTTTTACATACCAATCCCAGTTTCCCCACCCTCCTCTCCAGCTCCTCCCTCTTCACTCCACCCCACCCCCATCTGCTTCTCAGAGAGGTTAAGGGCTCCCCTGGGTCAACAAAGTCTGTCCCATCACCTCCTTGAGGCAGAACCAAAGGGCACCACCACCACTATCACCCCCCTCCCCCTGGCCTAGGCTGAGCAAGGTATCTGTCCCTAGAGAATGGGCTTCACAAAATCAGTACATGCATTAGAGTTAGATCCTGGTCCCATTGTCCGTGACCCCTTACATTGCCCAAGCCACATCATTGTTACCTGTATTCCAGGGACCTAGTTTGGTCCTGTGCAGGTTCCCCAGTTGTCAGTCCAGAGCTCCCACTATCGGATCAGTTGGCTCTGTGGGTTTCCCCATCATGGTCTTGACCTCTTTGCTCATTTTTACTTATTTTTTTCCAAGACAGGGCTTCTCTGTATATCTTTGACTATTCTGGAACTCCCGCTGTAGACCAGGCTGGCCTCGAACTCAGAGAGATCCACCTGCCTTCTGAATGCTGGGATTAAAAGAGGGTGCCACCACACCCGGCCCCTTTGTTCACATCACCCCTCCCTCACTTCGATTGTATTCCAGGAGCTCGGCCCACCGTTTAGTTGTGAATCTCCGCATCTGCTTCCATCTGTTTCTGGAAGAGGGTTCTAGCTTCACTGGGGTTGTAGACTGTAGGCTGGTTATCCTTTGCTTTATGTCTGGTATCCACCTATGAATGCGTACATACTATATTTGTCTTTCTGGGTCTAGGTTATCTCACACAGGATGGTTTTTTCTAGTTCTGTCCATTTGCCTGCAAATTTAAAGATGTCATTGTTTTTCTACCGTCAAATAGTACTCCATTGTGTAAATGTACCACATTTTCTTTATCCATTCTTTGGTGAAGGGTATTTAGGTTGTTTGGAGGTTCTCTACCTCATAAATACTAAGATTAAAGGCCTTCACCCACTAACCCCTTGCCTCATTCCTTGTTTTTAAAACTAACCTTCTCATTCAGGTTTTGCTTAAGGGCCACTTCCTCCAGATATCGTCCCTGGCACCAGATCAGGTTAGATGCCAAAGTATTGAATATTAACTGAATTTGGTGACCATGCCTTTAATCCCAGCACTCAGGAGGCAGAGGCAGGCAGATCTCTGTGAGTTTCAAGGCAGCCTGGTGTATATACTGAGTTCCAGGACAGCCAGGGATACAAGAGAGATCCTCTCTCTCTCTCTCTCTCTCTCTCTCTCTCTCTCTCTCTCTATATATATATATATATATATATATATATATATATATATAATGTGTGTGTGCATATACATACATACATACATATATATTGAACATTAATAACAAATTGTCTTATCCTTTATTATACTTAAGAGTGGAAAAGAACCAAAATTTTGTATTGTTTACTGATTTATCTGAATGCTTGACAGAGCAACAGTCAGATAGGTTGCTTACAAACTAAACATGAGAGATTAACAAATGAATATTTAAATAAATATTTAAATCAAACTGTTCCCAGCTCTATCTGTAAGGAAGAACAAGTCTAGAAGCCCAATATATATAATCCTTAGTTCTCAGTGCATCTGTCCATCTACTTCCGGTTTTCCATTTGCTTAAGCTGCAGAACACAAATACAAAAGTGTTCTCTGCCCAAAGCTTCTGGTTGCACTGTTTCTGAGCCTGAAACTACACCGATCTATTTGTGATTTTTTCTGAATGTCCAAACCTTCCTCGCTACCAACCTCCTCCCCCCAACACAATACTTCAACTTCCAACTCATAGCTTCCACTACCAAAACTTTCTTGACTGTAGGGCATCTTTGCTGCCCCACTCCCTGTGCTGTTTGCCTATAACACCATTAATTCCATCACTGTACCCATCTTTCTGGCCACTATTCCCATCCTGCACCCCTCACAAAGGGGTGGATGAGTTCCTTTTTCAGTCTACTGGCCCCCAGAGGGCAGATCAGATACATACCACTGCTTCCCAGTAACTACTCCCAGAGCATTCTCTTTCAATCCTCCCTGAACTCTGAACTTTGAAGCTCAAAGCTGCTTATGATATTATGTAACTGAATGTGGTAGAGTTGCAAGATATTTGGCAGCAGTAAAAGGTTTCTGAATGCGCAGAGCTAAAACTTAATACAAAAGTCAAGTGCATAGTGAACCTGGGGTTAGCCCATGTTGCATCCTATAGCACTGGTTCTGAACATGTGCACTTTGCACAGGCTTTAACACCCAACAAAGAGCAAAGCTTGAAAAAGCTAAATTTGAGGCTGGAGAGGTGCTCACCAGTTAAAAGCACTGGCTGCTTTTCCATCTGACCTGGATTTGATTCCCAGCATCCGGATGAAGGTTCACAAGCGTCTGTATCTCCAGTTCATGGGATTCTGACAGTAGCTTTTGGCCTCTTGGGGGTACCAAGCACACAAGTGATATAAGACATTCATGGAAGCGAAACACTCATACACAAAATTTTAAAATGAAAAAAGTTTTGAAAGAACTGAAATTAGGGGCTGGAGAGATGGCTCAGTGGTTAAGAGCATTGCCTGCTCTTCCAAAGGTCCTGAGTTCAATTCCCAGCAACCACATGATGGCTCACAACCATCTGTAATGAGGTCTGGTGCCCTCTTCTGGCCTGCAGACATACACACAGACAGAATATTGTATACATAATAAATAAATAAATATTTAAAAAAAAAAGAACTGAAATTAGTATGTTATGAAATACACTGATTTTTTTACTATATATAGGAAATTTTCTGCTTTTAAACAACAGTTTAATCACAAAAAAATGATTAGTATTTCCTACTATCATTCCTCAGCATGTATCAAATTAGTCTATTTTTAGATTGCATTATGTTAGACAAAGAAATACATCCATCTCAGTACGTAAATTTGCTTTAATCTTTAATAGAGTACTAAGTTCTTATGTATACTTGTGTGTGAAGTCCTTCTGTATATGTATTGCTTTTATTAGTTAATGAATTAAAAAAAAATCTGCCTTGGCCTGTGATAGGGTAGAATAGAGCTAGGCGGGGGTGGAGGTGGGGACTAAACTGAACGCTGGGAGAAAGAAGGCCAAGTCAGGAGACTACATGTAGCTGCCGCTGGGAACAGACATGCCAGAACCTTGCCGGTAAGCCACAGCCACGTGGTAATACACAGATTAATCTAGAAATGGGTTAAGTTAAGATGTAAGAGTTAGCCAATAAGAAGCTAGAGTTAATGGACCAAGCAGTGATTTAAATAATATAGTTTCTGAGTGATTATTTCGGGAGTCTTGGTAGCCAGGAAATGAACAAGCAGCCTCCTACAACAGTATACCAAAATTGTTTTAAGTTCTTTATGATTTCTAATTAATTTGATTTATAAACTTATTTTTTTTAACCTGGTATGTCTATTTAGTAATGAAAGTAACATTTTTCTCTTTCATAGACTGAGAAAGTTTGATCAAACTTTAATTGTTATATTGTTTATAATACTAACCTTAATGTTGCTGTTTCCATTACAGGTATACCACCCTTGCATTGTTTTTCTATAGTTTGTAAATTATATACTTATTTTATATTCCTGGAGCCATGAAAAACTGTCTCAGATGAAAAGGTTCAAAAATAGAAAAAGTTGAAGAAACCACCACACTAAACCACCTGCTATTCCTCCAAGTTACTACCTGAAGTATCTATAAAGCTCTGACCACACCTTTCATTCCCAGTTTTGGGAGCATGTGAGGGCATTTACTAGAGATTGAATCCAGGATATTTTACATGCTAGACAAGTCCTCTGCAGCTGACCTATATCCCCAGTCCTCTTTTTACCTTTTTGTTTTGAGACAGGGTCTTCCTAAGTTGCCTAGGCAGAGTCTTAAACTTGCAGTCTTCTGGCATCTTCTTCCTGAGCAGCTAGGATTGCAGGCTGGATTTGAACTTGATATAGAGCTAGCAAGATGGTCAGCAGGTGAAAAGCTCTTGCCACACAAGCTTGATAACCTGAGCTCAATAAATGGAAACCAAATATAAGTAGAAGGAGAGAACCAACTCCTGAATTCTGCCCTTTGACTTCCATAAGCATGGTCACACTCACATATGTACACCATACACACACATAATGACGATAATAAAAATTTTAAACAAACAAACGAAAAATATCTGCTACTCTTACCGAGGGCCTAAGTTAACTTACAAACACCCACATGGTGGCTTATGATCATTTGGAATCTGCATTCCCTCAGTTCTGTGTCTCCAAGCTAAAGAGATATGGTGGCATATATCTGTATGGCAGCTACTTGATTGAGAAGCTGAGGCATGATTATGAGTTCAAGCCCGGCCTAGGCTACATATAACCAGACTCTGTCTCCAAAGAGCAACTCTGCTTCCCGTTTGCTATGCCTCGTCTTCTGTTTCCTCCTTGCCCAACTTAGATTTCCTCACTGTTTTTTTTTTCTTTTCTGACTCCTCTCTCAAATTTATTGTTACCTGAAGAACCCCATTCAGGTGAAATCTCATAATATACCCCTTCCCGTAGCCATGGAAACAGATGTCACCTTAAATCCCAAACCACAACCCTTGCAACCACTCAGCCACTCTTTTGCACTTCTCTAGGCTGCTACCCATTTTCCCAGCAGAGTGTTTCTGTCCCTCCCTTTGCTATCTTCAACGTGTTGACCTATCTCCCACCCAGCTGCCTTAGTGCTGCACAGCCTCCACCCTTCTGTGCTATCTGGCCAAAGCCACCCTGTATTCCAACACTTTCTCTCACACACAGGCTGGACCACTTCTTGTCCTGGTTGCATTTTCCTCCCCTTAACTTCCAGGACCTGATTTGCACCCCACCTTGCTGACTACTACCCACCCGTGTGTGATCGTATCTCTCTCTGACCTCTGGGATTGAACTATCCAAGGGTTTAGACCTGGACCTCATTCTCTGACTATAACTCATGCCTAGTTTCTAGCTCATGGGTTTAGACATCATTTCTATCCTGTAGATAAAATTGCATTAACACTTTTTGACTTCTCTCCAAGAAGCTAGACTTGCCACACCTCTGTTTTACACATCAAATAAATGTTTATCTTATATTTTATATACCTTATTATTATATATGTATGATCTGTTATAAAATAGACTCCTTGGTCTCCTCTGCCTCCACCCTTGCTTGTCATCATCCCAAATTAATGCCAGCAATTATGTTCTTCCCCCTATGCTGATAAAAGACATCCTTGACCCTTATTTTCTGACTTACCTCCACATCCAATACTGTATCCTAACAGTTACCACCACTGCCTGGTGATACCTGATTCATGTTACTGATATTTCTCACGGAGAGTAAGTAGTAGCCTACTAAATTGGGTTTTTATTTTCATGTTGGTTCTTTCTCTTTACTCCCCACATACAATGAAAGACATTCTTTGGAAGTAAAAATGAGTTGGTGCCAATCCCCTGATGAAGATCCATTTTGTCATTCCAGCTCAGCTGGTGAAAGTCAGAGTCTTTACAGTATCTCACAAGACCTTGCATAGTCCTGGTCCTCTGCATTATTACTTCCCCCCCACCAGAGTCAGCCTTACTGTAAAATCTTAGAGTAATGACAACTTCCCTTTCTCCTACATTTCTTAGCATCGTTCTTTTATTTTCTTCACAGCACTGATTGCCATCTGATTTCTAGCATATTTTATTCATTTATTTATTGACTGCCCATCTAAAAAACAGTAATCTTGCAAAGGGCCAGGTCTGTTTTATTTGCTCATGTATGTGACACCTATAAAAGTGCCTAACACATAGAAAGCACTCAATAAATATTTGTTGAGCACATGTCATAGTTGATTGAAAAACGTCTTTAATGCCAAGAAGAATGGCACACACCTGTAGTCACATCAACTTTGAACCTATGGTGGGAGTATAGCATGAGATTAGGACTCTTTGAGTAGCATGGTCAATGTAGCAGACTATCCAGGGAGACAGAGAGAGATCGTAAGAGATTGCCCATTGCCTGTCGATGTCCTTGTCTGATGCTGGCAGTCTCTTAAAGGTGGTGAGTGGAACAGCCCATCATTGTACGCAGATATAGGGCCTGGCACATGGTTAATATTCAGAAAACATTAATTCTGTGACTGTTTTCAGAGCAACTTAATTATTTCGCTATATGAAAAAAAAGACCCAAAACCTTCCAGCTTGCAACTTTCATCAAGTCCAGTTAAGGTTGAACTCTTCAGCAGAGATACACCAAGAACGTATTGTACCTATACCAAGTAGGTCACTGTTGTTGGTGGCCATGAAACTCAGTTTCTGCTTGTCATTTTAGGAAGGTAGGCCCAACGCTACCCGAACCACAGGTCAAAGCAAAGTGAATAAGACACTGAAGAGTGGTTTTGGGTGTGGTTTGAAAACAAATGTCTCTGTTAAATATGTCAAACATGATTACAAGGAAACATGGAGCCACAGGGTGTGGGCTTTCATGCTGGGGAGGTAGAGATAATCTTTGTAGAGATTTCATTCTGTGTTACAGAGCAACTTAAAGGGCACCTGTTTAGAAAGCCCTATCCGATACCCAAATGTAAATCTGATGACCATTCTGTTTTTCCTTTAATTTAGACTTTTTAATAGTGTGTATCAATTGTACAAATAAAGGGTTTCGTTATGGCATTTTCGTGAATGCATCTCATATACTTTGAAATAATCTTACTTTCCTTTTCCCTTTTCCTTCTACATCTCTAGTTTGAATTTTCTGTAGAGTACTCACCATCAGGTGATTATTTTGTTTCCTTGGTTACTAGGTGGCAAGCTTTAAGGGACCAATGAGGTTTTGTTCACTTTTGTGCCCCAGTCCTGAAACTCTGCCTGGTACAGAGCAGTCACTGCATAAATATGTGTTGTGTGAATAAATAAAAGAGGAGCAGGAAATATGGCTGACTACTCTTCCAGAGGACTCAGATTTGACTCCCAGTGCCTGCATTGTAGCTCACAACCAAAAGACCTGATGCCCTCATGGCCTCCACAGGCATCCGGCATGCATGCCATACACAGACATACATTTAAACAAAGCACCCATACACATAAAATAAATAAATAAAGTGGTGGAGACTGACCATGGTGGACAGAATTTTGTAATATCCTCAACATTCCCATCTCCTGGTGAACCTGCTTTGTATAAACCCTGGGCCTGTTTTTCAAAAGTAGGATTTGGTTATATGCTGCAATTGACTTTTTAAATTTTTTTATTATTGTGTGTCAGTGCGGGTACATGTATGTGGAGGTCAGAGGACAACTTTCAGGAGTTGGTTCTCTCCTTCCACCATGGAATCTGGGTATCAAACTTAGGTTGGCAGGCTTCTGCCCAGCTACAGGTAACTTTTAAAGGGGGAGATAGTCCAATGAGATGGCTGTAAAAACCCTTGACATGCAGGCTTACATATAATACACACACACACACACACACACATTAAATAAATGAATGTAATAAAAATTTACTTCAATAAAGGAGCTAAGAGCAGTAAACAACCACTCAGATAAGAGAGAGATGTTAGTCCTACAACCACAAGGAGCTGAATGCTGTCAACAGTCTGAAATTAAAAACCAGTTTTTCTGATAGTCTCCAACAAGAAATGCAGACTGGTCATCACTTGGATTCCAGCCTGGTAAGATTCTAAAAAGAGAGACAAGGCCTACTGTACCAAGCCCAGAGAGCTATGAGCTCATGAGTATGGGTGTTCTGAGCCTCTAGTTCATGCTAATTTGTTACACAACTATGAAAATTAACATAGAGGCATTAACAGTTCTCTCTCTCTCTCTCTCTCTCTCTCTCTCTCTCTCTCTCTCTCTCTCTCTCTCTCTCTCCCTCCTCCCAAGGGTTTCTCTGCATAGCCCTGGCTGTCCTGGAACTCAATCTCTAGACCAGGCTGGCCTTTGTCGTTGGTCATGCAAGAGGAACAATAAGTTGCAATTGAAATTCCAGGAGTCAGCCCACCAGAAGGGCACCCTCTAATGGGTCAATCTCGTTTAGGCCATGGGACTACGGACCCTGGAATTCTCTTGCTTCTGCTGTGCCTTTACATGTTTGCTGCAACTCTCTTTCTCTCATATCTAGCATGGTGTGCGTAGATGTGGGGAGATTTTCACTGACTATAATACAAGTGTTTATCTCTTGGAAACATCCCATTCTACTGGGCATTTTTAACCTGTGGATTGGCAAGAAGATGACTCCTCCTTAAGCTGTACTGTCTAGTTTTATTATGATGATAGCATATATAGAGTTTTGATGAACAAAAATAAATACAGGGATGTGTTTCACAGCTAGGATCTGGGAGTCTCTCGTAAGGAGCTGCATGGATTGTAGCTCAAATTAACAACTAACAACTGAGTCCCAGTAGCCCAGCTAGTTTAAATTCTTTAAACTTAATGTTGGGAGATGTGTTCACAGGTCTCAGAGTGCATCACAACTGAAACAAAGCTTTGAAAATAATAAAGTCAGACTAAGATGTTTTTGTTAAATAACTTGGAGGTGAAAACCCCAAGAAGACAAGTTTTAGAGAGGCATATAGCTGAATGCAGAACTCTTCAAGATCAGGGAACAAGAACAAAGCAGCCCAATTATTACTGGCTGATGTTCTCTCCTTGCTAGGTTTGGTTGATGATGAAGGGTGATGACTAATTCCTTATACCCATGTATGTCCTCAATCTCCTGATATAAAAAAATCTATTAATGAATGGATATGTATCCTAAAGATTTAAAGGAGAGCTGAATGATTTTTTTCATATGTAAAAGTTTACATTTGTGATTTCTTTAAGATTCCTTATAAGATTATTTTTCGAGATAAGTAATAAAGTAATCGGCCCTTTCTTTGTAACCGTAAAATGCAGCCTGCCAGTAAAAGACCTGACAAAAACACCTTGCTTGCCATATGATTAATCTATACAAGTTGCTTGGGTATGAACGTATATGGATTCTTGGGATAATTTGTTTCTCACCTGTAATTATATAAAATGTTTAATCATGGGAGGGAAATGAAAAACATGTTTTTCCCTATAATCATTCACTTGAGAAATGGAATGCAACTGTTTTGACTCTTGTGCAGCCTGGAAGATTCTTTTGGGGTATAAAAGCTGTAAAACAACTTATATAGAGAGAGAATAAAGAAGAGAAAGAATAAAGAAGGAAACTATCAAAAGAGTTTGTGAGTGCCTTTTTCCCTGCCCCCCTCAGATAGAAAAGTTTAGCCTCACTGACTCCATAGATCCCTGTCAAAGCCCTGTGCTGCTCGAGGCTGGTCCCCCAGATAGCAGTAGGCCTCTGCCTTCCAGGTGCTGGCATTCAAGGAGTGTGTCACCACTGCCCAGCTAAGTTTCTCTGTTCTTTTACTTATTTATTTATGTACTGTGTGTATGTGTGTGGGTATGTGTGTGGGTATGTGCATGCCATGACATGCATGGGGAGGTCAAAGGACAACTCTTAGTCATCAGTTCTCTCCTGCCACCTTGTAGGATCTGGATATTGAATTCTGGTTGTCCAACCTGCATGCAAGCGCCTTTGCCTGCTTAGCCATCTCTGTAGCTTTTTGTTGTTTGTTCTTGTGAGACGGTGTTTCACTGTTATCTAGTCTGGCCTCAAACTCACAGGGATCCTCTTACCTTAATCTC